ATTATTTTGTGTATTTCCAAATAGAAAAACAGTTATTCAAAAATCCTTTGTGCTGGCCAGTGTGGCTCAATGGTTGAGTGTTGACCTATGAACCAGAGGTCACGGTTCGATTCCTGGTCAGGGCACATACCCAGGTTGGGCCGTGGACTCAATACCCAGTAGGGGATTGGCAGGAGGCAGCTGATCAATGATTCTCTCTCATCATTGATGTTTCTCTCTCTCCCTCTCCCTTCCTCTCTGAAATCAATAAAAAATAGATATTTTAAAAATTCTTTGTGATAAAATATTAACATGACCTTTTGGCTTTGTCTGCTACAAGAACTTATATGTCAGCTTAACCTTTGGGCGGCTTTGCATATCAGAAATTAACTTTGGACTTGAAAATAATTTCTTGATCAGCATAAGGTCCAAAGATTGCAGAAAGTGGAGGGAAATACTTGGAATTGCCGCTGTTATTAGTTAGTCAATAAAGATGATTGTGCAGGTTAATGAAATAAGTAGATTATCAAATATAAGACAGCATCTTTTGAATTTTGCTCCATTATTTTATTGTTACTTTTTAAAAAAATCTCATACTGTTTGTTGAGCCTCATCACTTAATTTTTCAGCTTTCTCTCCTTGTTTCAAAAGCTTTGTAGTCGCCGCTTTTGTTGAGAGGGCAGCCGTGAATCCTGTCTTCAGTTGTTTACAGTTCTGAGTTGCCTAGGATATTGCTACTTCTTTTATGGTGAAAAAATAGCACCTCCTCTGTTTGCAACCACAGACGCTGGGGAAGGTGGTATGGTTGTGATGTGACATAGGGGCTGGGCAGAAGCAGGGCTGGCTGGAATAAGTAAATCATTATGGAGATTTAGAAATGTTTTTCCTCTGGAAATTGAAAAACAGAGCTCACATGGGGATATTTTATTCATGCAGAAATGAAATTGGAACTTGGTATAAAAACCCATCAGCTAAACTGAACATGATGTAAAACCTTGAGCATTTCAGTCCCAGGTAAATTATATTAGCAGATGTTCCCCTCAGAAGAGCCCTGGAGAAGTGCTTCCTAACCAATCCGTGAACTGGGTGCATCAAAACCCCCGGAGTGCCCTGGCTGGTGTGGCTCATTTGGGTGAGCAGAGTTCCATACACCAAGAGGTTGCCAGTTCAATACCCAGTCAGGGCACATGCCCAAGTTATAGGCTCAATTCCCAGTAGGGGGCATGCAGGAGGCAACTGTCAAGTTATAGGCTCAATTCCCAGTAGGGGGTATGATTGATGTTTCTCTCACTGATATTTCTACCTCCCTCCCTGTCTCTTCCTCTCTCTAAAAAAAAATAAATAAACATTTGAAAATCAACAAACAAACAACTCTGGAGTGCTGGTTACAATTCATATTCCCCGGCTCCTGCAAGGATCAGTCAGGCTTGAACTGAGGAGGAGCCCAGAATCTGCATTTTTATTGAGTATCCCTCCCTCCATTGGATTGTACTTATGTAGGTATCTTACCCATCCAGCTGGAATAGCAAAACACCACAGACCGGTTATTCATCAGAACTCAACCTTGATGGCACCTGACTTCCAACTTCCAACCTCCAGACTGGGAGAAAAAACAGCAGAAAATTATTTCTCACATTCTGGAAGCTGGAAGTTGAAGGTCAGGTGCCATCAAGGTTGGATTCTGATGAGCACTTCCTTCCACATTGCAGACTTTTCCTTGTATGGTCACATGATGGAAGGGGCAAGGGAGATCTCTGGGTTCTCTTTCATAAGGGCACTAATCCCATTCGTGAGGGTTCCACCCTTATGACCTAATCACCACCAAAAGGCCCTTAGTACCATCACTTTGGGTATTAGGTTTTCAATTCATTAGGATGAATTTGGGGGTGTGGGGAACACAAACATTCCGACCGTGGCAGCAGTGAATCACTTGGAATTTTCCCCAACGTTGGCCAGATTCTCTTGTAAATCAATATCTCTAGAATAACAAGTTCCAAGATTGCAGCACTCACGGTGCAGAAGCTCTCACTATGTGGGGTGGCTGCTGCCCAGCATCAGCTGAAGTTAGAGGGAGCTGAGCAAAATCCCTCTCAGCCCTCCAGCTTAAAGATTTCATAAGGAATTAACTCATCTATCTCCACTCCCAGGAAAACCTGATATGGAACACGAGCCTGCCTCCCCAGGGGCTGGCACTGGGTCCTAAGTGTTATCAGAAAGGGTAGGTGGCAGGGTGCCTGCTTCTGGGTGAGGTAGCTTTGTATACTCAGATTTATCCAAGCAATGCTGGGCCTCCCCTGAGCCAAGAAGGCCCACTCATCCTATTGCTTTCCAAAACAGTAATCATTCTGGTCATCTTAGTCAACAAATATCCATTCACAAATATGTATTAGGTTTCTACTGTGTGCTGTTTCAGGCTCCATCGATTCCAGGGAACAAGAGAAATAGGATCCTGGCTTGTGGGCCACCTCAGTGTGTCCAGACCTCTTCTAAGCTCACTGGTCATTTAGGCCACGTGACCAATGTCCAGAATTGTGTTCTTATTTTTATTCGGATTTACATTTTGTTCTGCTTATACTCTGTAACACTGAGCCAGAAAACAGTGACTTCTCGCAGATGGTTTAGAACACATCCCCCGCCACTGAAGATGGCTCTGCCCATCTCAGAAGCCTTCTCAGCTGTTGGCCTTGGCCCTCAGGGAGGCGGGCTTTACTGAAGATTGTAGGTAAACTTGAGAACAATTGGCTTTTTGTTTAGATGTCCTTGGGCTATCACTTGGAAAGGATTTATTTTGCTTTGGCCTCTGTTCCCTCCTGGCTCCTAAAAAAAAAAAAAAAAAAAAAAAACAGCTTT